CTTGGGCCGATACGTGAATACTTTTGGGCCTTGCCCAACACGTCCGCGCTTAACATTTGAACAGTTATTTCACGTTTGGAAACATCTTTCCCTTTTTGGCTCTTCCCACTCAAGCGTTTTTTTTTCATATCTTCTTTGAACTTTCGCCATTTCTCCGCCATGTTGCCTTCCGCGCGGGCAAAGGTTCATGGGATGTTATGATAGCGCTCGGCCACTGCTCGGCCACTGCTCGGCCCATGGGAATTTCTCTCGGGTCGCTGTGCATTATGGTAGTGGCAGCTCTCGGCCATGGTGAAATTCACTTTTACTTTGTAATTTTAATTGTAAATCAGTATTTTGTATTTCATTTTAATTTACTTTTATTTTTCATTTTAATTTATTTTTATTTTTCACTTTAATTAAAAAAACAATTATAAAGAATATTTTGGTAGTGGCAGCCCTCGGCCATGGTGAAATTCACTTTTACTTTAATTTTAATTGTAAATTATTTTGTATTTCATTTTAATTTATTTTGTATTTCATTTTAATTTATTTTGTATTTCATTTTAATTTATTTTTATTTTTCATTTTAATTAAAAAAATAAAAAGTAAAAAAATCTTTAAAATAATGTAAAATGTACAAAAAAAACGAGTGGCAACGCTCGGCCACCATACTAAAGTTTAATCTCGGCCGGTTATACCAATCAGCGGGTTGTTTTAGGAATCTTGAAAATATCGCTACCCGGTGGATAGCCGGTCTTCGTATAAAGGCCTAATTCAACTACAAGCGAAATGCGAAAAATTTCGCGCGAAAAGGTTGAACGCATGTGCAACATGATTTTGGAGTGTTTCTCTGCGAAATATTTCTCTTCGCCGGGTAGTTAAATTCGTTTCTACTCCGATGCGAAATGGAAAGAGCGAAGCCAATGAAATGCTTGTGTTTTGGATGACAAAATAGCGAAGCCAATCAAATGCTTGTGTTTTGGCGAATTTTTCTCCACTGTGGAAATTACTACGAGACAAAATTTTCGCACAAATGTGTTTTCGCTCGAAATTTTTCGCATTTCGCTCGTCGTGGAATTAGGCCTTAATTAACCTGCTCCTGAAGGACTGTAAAATACGCTCAATGATAGGCCTACCACGTTTCAGTTGCGTGCGAACCGAGGAATGGCGCGAAACTCGAGGTCAATCTATATGTAACCCCGTGCATGATAGATCGTAGAAGGGACGGACCATTAGATGTTTGAGGAGGGCAATTTTTTTGTGCATGATTTTTTTTTCATTCCTCAACTGTTGGCAAGATTATTTTTTCTACACCATTCCTTTGCAAATATTTTTTTAAAGATACCCTAAAAAAATTTTCGATTGCCGTAAAAGACCATTTTAATCTTTTAAATCAATTGTATTACGATTTTATTACGAAATTCAGCCCTATAGTTCTTGCTCGATTTTTTTTCAATAGATTTGTTGTGCACGATATTTTTTTCTAGACTTTTTCTGTGCGCGAATTTTTTTTTTATATTTGCCCAACCCCCGCTCAAATATCTAATGGTAAGTCCCAAAGGAAAGAAACAATTCGTCTTCATCGACTCTTTTCAATATATATATAAACACGGATATGAATTACTTATAATGTTTAATGTTTAATAGAAAAATTACACATTAAATAGCTACAATAAGTAGCTAAATTTGAATGCGCATTACATGCACAGATTTATTTATTTATTTATTTATTTATTAAACTTTGCCAAAAACACTTAACAGAACAGCAAATAGACATCTACACAATAAACATGGACAAAAATGGCAGGGACACCACAACAGTGTAAACCAATTACTGTGGGCCCTATATTAATTATTATATTAATTAATTATATACATTAATTACTACACTATCTAAATTAGGTATTAAAAACGTTTCAATACATTTAATATGTAATTTTAGTATTTTTGCACAAGTGAACATAACAAATCCTACAAGGTGATTGGTCAAATTTGACGTATTAATCTGTTATTTTCACCTACAGGTGAATATAACAAAATCGAAATTTTCAAAATGGCTGCTAGCCGTTTTGTCACAGTATAGGGAGACAACCAGTAGGGCCACTTAGGGGAGAGAAAAGTGGGAATTATTTAAGCTAGGTCCCAGGTGCCTTACGCGGCCAAAATCATTACTCTGTAATACAATTTTATAGTGAACTGCTGCCGTTTACTGGCTGCCAATATGTAAATTCAGTTTGCAGCCAGTAAACAATGTGGACACTTTTTCACGCTAAGTGGCCCTACTGTAGTTTTCCTATACTGTGGTTTTGTTGAAGTTAGTGATAAAGAAATAAGCGAAATTAAAATGAATTCAGAAAAGAAAAATACAAAAAAGCTTGTGCCAAAATATTAAAACAATTATTCGCCTCAGGCTCGGTGATTATCGGGGAATATTCACTACGACTTCGTCTTGGCGAATATTCCCCGATAATCACCTCGCCCATAATTGTTAAATATTATAAAAGAATTGGAATATTGGAATTGCGGTATACGACCATGTCCGTATCCGGGATTTTAAATCAGTCCGTCGACTAAAACACGAGAAAACTCCAGGGGTTAGGGCTATTTCCTGCATTTTAAGATCAATCTCATAAACAGACAATGACTACAATTTTATTTGGGCTACGTTTACAGTCAGGTACCGGATAGGTTTTTGCTTCGTTCGCGAATCCACGCCCCAAGTGTAAACAGCTTCAGCCCCCGTCATTCTATTGCGAAAATATCGTGGACGTCATTTTAAAGAGTGAGCAAGCTATAGCGGCCATTCACAAAATACGTGACGCTGTTTTTGCCAATTTTTTATCCAAGTTATCGTTCCAGTCTAAATAGAGTTCACTGCTCTGAGCCAACCAACCACCCCCCCCCCAAAAAAAAGTACTCACAGATTTAATATACAATAACAGATTCACAACGTTACCTATAAATCGACACTATTTCAGTGTCTTATTAAAACTTGGTCTAAACAGTTTCCCACTCAGGTTCTCGCTGGTTCGTTGAATAAACGGGAGTCTCGTATTCCATGGCGATGTCAGGAGGAGTGTTTTGATAGAAAACATTGATTTGTCATGCAAGGGACACATGTTTACAAGCACGGTCTTGTTTTGTTATACACAGGGGAAAATGTTCCCCTGTACGCCCCTCCGTCACGTGATACTGCTTGCGATACCCCTCCCCCCTCTCGTGACACTATGTAACACCTGATCAAACACCCCCTACCCCCACGAGCGTTACGTATTTTGTGAATATGGCTCCATAACTGCTACCTGTTACCCGTCTTCTTCGCGCCCTAGGTGGCACATAGGGCCTCAGCAGCTTTCCTCCATTTCGTCCATACACCCACAAATAAGATCAGAATATCTTGTTTGCTAGGCGCCATCTAGAATCACGAATTAAACCGAAAATTTCTCAGATTGGTGTTTACATTGAAAGCTTTGAAAAAATCAATCCGGCACAACACGAGTCGTGCTGTACTGGATTGGTTTGTCGAACCACTTGCAAGAGCGGAGCACCGCACCAGCGCTTCGATGCAGACATTGATTCGATTCCATCATTTCATATGTAAACAAGCCCTATCCGGTATGGTTTATGCGGCGCTACGTAAGCTATCCAGTACAGTGTAAACGTAGGCTATGTTTATATTACCCGGATAGCCTTCCGTAGCGGCGCAATAATGTTGGTTTCGGTTTATGCAAGAATTTGGGCCTATCTCGTCACGTGTGTATTGTATTTTTTCCCGCACAACCAATAGCAATGTTTAAATTGAGCATTTGTTCACGTTACGGATGGATAACTCAACCACAAACTTGTTTATATTGGTTATTTGAGCGAAAATACAATACACACGTGACGAGATAGGCCCAAATTCTTGCATAAAGCTGGACAATAACGTAGTTAATGACTTATATTGTACTTTCATCGAGTCTCCAAACCATCTATTAAAATAACTGTGATTGGATACACTGGCGTCATCCCAGGGTCTTTTTTAACATACAAGCTGGGGGGCATTTGTCCCCCCCAGTCCCCCCTAGTGCCCCCCCACGAAATCACATTTTGCCCCCCCCAGGAAAAGTCCCTTTTTCCTAAAATTATACAAACAATCCAGCGAAGATTAACAAATAGATAAACGGAAAGTAAGTTTTAGGCTTTATCCTTCGTTGTTGTTTAACAAAATCGATTTGAATTGTTACTTTTTTACCACTAAGTAATGATAAATTATTGTTAATATTTTTTTTATTTTTTGGATGCTCAGAATGCAGGAAATAGCATTTCACGGTTTCAAATTTCAAAAATTTACTTGGGATTATTCCTCTAATAAGTAATGATAAATTACAGTTAATATTCTTTTTTACTTTTTGTGCATTTTTCCATCTTTTATTTCAAATACAACTATAGTTAGCATAAATTTTAGAGCAAACTTGGATGCTCAGAATGCAGGAAATGGCATTTCCGTGGTTCAAATTTCAAAAATTTTCTGGGGGAGTACACCCCCACACACCTGACCATTGCTATCCTCCTCTAATAAGTAATGATAAATGATGGTTATTTTTTTTTACTTTTGTGCGTTTCTTCCTTTATTTATTTCAAGTACAAGTGTAGTTAGGATAAATTTTGGAGCAAATTTGGATGCTCAGAATGCAGGAAATGACATTTCCGAGAGTCAAATTTCAAAAATTTTCTGCGGGAGAACACACCCCAGACCCCCCATTCATGCGTGGTATATTTGCCACACACGTGGCTTTCAGCCATTGCTATCCCCCTCTAATATATTATCTCACAGAAAGGTCCCTTTTCAAAAAATGCCCCCCCCCACACGGGAAAATCCTTAGAAAAGGCCCTGCATCATCCTAGCCACTATGATCCTATCATTCACTTGTGGTTAGATGGACCGGTATTGCTAGATCGCTGGAGGGCCTACAGTTAGGTCTAAAATATATACAGCTAATTCAAAAAAAGTTGTCATTTGAAAAACCCTAAACCTTGGACTCTAAGCGTGCAAAGCGTAATGGGAGCATCATTTAATCAGTTTAGAAATCATATATGGGGTCCATTTCTTAGCGACATGGTAAATATCTCCTTACGAGAACAATTCATTCACAAATAGCTGCAATATTCAACTACTGAGCTTGAAAGTTGTGCTCAGTTCCATTAAGCTTTGCGCGTTTAGAGTTTAAGGTTTAAGATTTAGAGTTTAAGGTTTTTCAAAGGACAATCTTTTTTGAATTGGCAGTATAGTTTTGCTTGAAATTTCTACCTGGTATTGGGTCATCGCGGTTTTTTTTTCGAAATAAAGGAGCAAATGGTTTTGAAAATAGCTTCCTGATAGTTAATTTTCAATAAGATCATTCCCGATACCCGCGGACAGTAGCGCGAGAATGAGGTTTCGTGCTAACGTTTCTATAGTGAATTAACAACTCGAGTGTAATTCGGAAATGGCCTATTGAGAGTACCCGATTACAGGTAACTAATTAAATTCGTTGCTTGTTATTGTAGTCTATTTCCGGCAAACAAATATCTATCAGTTCCTTTTTCTTATATTTGCTTTAAATTATGATGAAAGATTGTAGAATTTTAGTGGGTGGAATACATTTAGCTGAGCTGGGGTTTTGATTTAATAACGTAATCTAGCAAGTTTTGGCTGGCAAGTATGCACACATTATGATTGCCTTGAGCCGTAATTGTTTAATCAGTTGAGCACTCTGTTGATTTTACGTGTGAAAAATAAAAGGTAAAGTAAACAGATATACTGCCCTTCCGTAAGAGTCAAGTAAAGTTAAAATTATACTTTCAAAAAAGACATCCTCATGTCAACTGACACAAAGCAGGCAACTCCTATAAAATCTCTTAAACAAAAGTTGTGTCGCATTGAATAACATTGGACAAGGTCTGCCAAGGAGCTGAATCCACAATGATCATCGCCGGTCTTCTTACTCTTCTTCTTGCAGATTTTGCTGTTTGCACGACAATACCATTTGAGGTTTGTTCACTGATTGATATCAATATGTAACTTGTTGTCCGTAAATATTCACGGCATGCATTTGTAATAGCGAACGGAATTAAGCAGATATGTTTTAAGGCAAATATATATCTTACTGTAATTCAGCATTAAGGGGTCTTTGTGTAGTGAACTGAACGTGATTTGCATCTGTCTAGCTGGAATTTATTAGATGTAATTTGATGTAACAAGAACAAAAACTGGACGAACACCAAGAACGTCAAGAAAAGCAATATTATGACTAATATTTCGGATGTGACAATTCAGTTACAGCATTGAATTTTGTTCATTCTTATACCAGAATCCACCAATGTGTGTGGTTTCAAGTGTCCAGTGTCACAGTGTCGGTCCCATATACATTGTGTGATGTAACATTTGGTTGGTCAGTTTATTTGTTAGCGACTGATTGGGCGATATGGGATCAGATTTGACTTTATTCAATGTTGGACTTTTAAGTTAATGAGTAATGTTTACTGACGCAGTTTTTCAGCAATTTGATTTCCGAACTATACGTATATATCATTTGATTATCTGTTTGTACTTCTTCAGAAAAAATTCGAGGCTTTGTCAAAGCGACAAACATCAAGCCACTCAACAACTAAAACCGGTATGTGGGCCTATATACACTTTATTCAGTAAATTAATGAAATTAGTTCCCTACCGTTTCCATTGGGTATAATTGCCGCTTTGAAGTGAACTGGAAAAGCCCTTTGAAAGGTTATGAGCTGCAAGTATTCCATTTCTTACATAAATTTGTGAATCCTTGTATATGAAAGAGTAGTTCTAGCACCAATTCACAACTCTTGACGTTACCATGGCAACAGGACGGCAACATTTATATAACTGAGCCAAAAAAGTTTTCAAAGTGGAAACTGATAAGAACGGTAACCTGTCAATTTTTCGCAGAAAGTAGATTATCATTAGTGATAATATTCGTCAGTGGTGATATTCGCTAGTTTAGTATCACAAAAACTACACTGGCGATTTTTTTAAAAATTAGATACTTAATAAAACATAGTAGGTGAAATAGTGAATACTAAGTTTCACAATTTTCTTGGCGAGCATACCCCAGTGATGTACACTCTGTAATATGTTAAGATGAAAATGTTCTAGAGTGTGTATTATATAATTTTCATAGAAAAATGTTGTCTGCCGCGGCTGGGTCTTGAACCTGCCGACCTTCGAATTACTAGATCGACGCTCTACCAACTGAGCTGCACGGTCAGACGGATTTAAGACAGGAAATTATGAAATATATACTGAATGTCATAAACATACTCGTTTATATTAATTCAGCATCGAACAATACTAGTTCTGCAAGTGTTACGTTAAGTTGTGTAATTGTACACTCCGTAATATGTTAAGGTGAAAATGTTCTAGTGTGTGTACTATATAATTTCCATACCCAGCGCAAGCAGAAAGATGTTGTCTGCCGCGGCTGGGTCTTGAACCCGCGACCTTCGAATTACTAGAACGACGCTCTACCAACTGAGCTACACGGTCAGACGGATTTATGACTGGAAATTATGAAATATATACTGAATGTCATAAACCTACTCGTTTATATTAATTCAGCATCGAACAATACTAGTTTAGAACATTTTCACCTTAATATATATATATATATATATATATATATATATATATATATATATATATATATATATATATATATATATATATATATATATATATATACTGAAGACTATATTCAAAAAAATAGTCGATGAGTTGACGTAAGGTAGAAGAGCGCTCAATACCATAATAAGTAGAGCGGAATTAATTCAGTCAAGGGTTGAATGTTTGCGTCGCTACTCTGAGTTTCACGCTTTACGCGATCATCAGGCAACTGACAGATATTATTCAATATTCATAATAAATATAGGTTATCATTTTACAACTTGATTAAGCAGGTATCTGATTACATGTCTACATACAATAAAGTGGTCCATTATGAAGAAAGTCAAAGCATACAAACCAGGATCTAAACGGTGCAATTTATGCCTCGAGGAGAAACTACTTATTATGAAAGCGAAGAAAACTGAATGCCTGAACAAACGCTCTGACTTGTTTTCCAAATGTAGACATGTAACCAGATACCTGCTTAATCAAGTTGTAAAATGATAACCTATATTTATTATGAATATTGAATAATATCTGTCAGTTGCCTGATGATCGCGTAAAGCGTGAAACTCAGAGTAGCGACGCAAACATTCAAACCTTGACTGAATTATATATATATATATATATATATATATCTATATATATATATCTATATATATATCTATATATCTATATATATATATATATATATATATATATATATATATATATATATATATATATATATATATATATATATATACCGGGTGTCCCAAAAAAAAGTACTCCGATTTGATTCGTAATAACTTTTAAACAAGTAAAGCTTTTAAAGAGAAATAACTTGCATCAAATAGAGGAAGGGCTAACTTAGATTTTGATATGTTACAGTTGTATTTCACTTAAAAATTCACGAAGATATTAATGTTTAAAATCGGGAGCATATTTCTGGATGTGTCTGAAATATGCAAAAAACAGCGTATCAAATATTCATCAAGATTTGCCCGACTGAAACTTGCACTATTACCAGTAAATAAATGACACTTGACAATTTGTTTATTATGCAACAAAGTATTATTATATACAAAACACAAGCAAGATTTATGCGTCCGAAACCCGCGTGTGTTCCTAGCACGAAAACGTTTCCTTATTTCATGAGACCACTGCATCGCGAAGGATCATCATGGATATCGTTCGTAGTTCTGAATTAGGGCATGCTGTCACAATGGAATGGTGAAGCTCTTCTAACTTCTGCAACGTTTTGAAATCTTGTTAAGAACACCCAAACTCTTTTGCATTTTCTTTATCCTGGCAAGTTCAAAATAAACTGAGAATGAAACACAATCAAACCATACAACTCCATAAGACATGACAAGCAACTCCCCAGAGACATCCAACATTTTTGGAACAAAACGTAACCAAATAGTAGCGTTGGTACTGTGATGTGTATTTGCAAAAAGCAATATTATTTCCTTCATTAAAGAATAATATTCATCCTACTTTAACCGAGAAATAATCAACTTTGTTTTGAACTCATGAAAAACATAAAAAAATTAGGCTATTTAAGAAAAATTTAAGCGCCTGCCTTGCATGATCTTTCATGTACCTTTATTAAGTTTGTAAAGACCTATTAAATACTTGCATAATTTCGAACGTTCATATTTCAGGGAACAATGAGCTAAGACTTACATGTAAGATGTCTATAAATCTACGCCATATCCCTTACAAACTCAAACGACAATTCGCTGAAATACAAGTTAGCTTGGTATGTCATTTATTAAATTAAGCAAACAAACGCTGGAGATAATATTGACCAATATTTGATATGCCGATTTTCGCTAATATTAGACACATTCCAAAATATGTTCCCGATTTTGAACATTAATATCTCCGTGAATTTTTAAGTCAAATACAACTGTAACATATCAAAATCTAAGTTATTCCTTTCCCTTTGTAATGCAAGTTATTTCTCTTTAAAAGCTTTACTTGTTTAGAAGTTATTACGAATCAAATCGGAGTACTTTTTTTTGGGACATCAGGTTTCAACACGAGAAAATAAAAGTCATATTTCCAAAGCCACCGTGAAATGTTCTTTTTATTATATGGATAAAAGTTGAAGCAGAAACGACAAAACGTATGACATTATTAGTTTATTCAAGTTTTGTTTTTTGTTTTGTAGCTAACCGTACGACAACAATGTTTATGTCTCTCCGCTTGCTAATCGAGACTAAATAGTCGCTGAAGATCGCCAAATAGGACTAATTAGTCTTCCTTTTTGTGTTTTCACTTTCTTCAGGAAACCTTGCTAAATCAGCGTTCAAAACATCAAAAAAATGTCGAGAAGTTGTCATATTGTATATTCAAAACAGAAACGGCAAAATGGCGAGAATTAGCGTGGGTCCCGCGCGAGACGTTCCCGCGTAAGATATGATTTCATATTTCACTATAGTGAAATACGGAAAATATCAGTGGCGTATTTTACGGTATTTTACTCATATCCATATAATAAATATATATATATATATATAATATATATATATATATATATATATATATATATATATATATATATATATATATATATACCGGGTGTCCCAAAAAAAAGTACTCCGGTTTGATTTATAATAACTTCTAAACAAGTAAAGCTATCAAACAGAAATAACTTGCATTAAATAGAGGAAGGACTAACTTAGATTTTGATATATTACAGTTGTATTTTACTTAAAAATTCACGGAGATATTAACGTTCAAAATCGGAAGCATATTTTGGGATGTTTCTAAAATTAGCAAAAATCGGCATATCAAATATTAACTCCAGCGTTTGTTTGCTTAATGACATATCAGGCTAACTTGTATTTCAGCGAATTGTCGTTAGGGTTTGTAAGGGATATGGTGTAGATTTAGACATCTTACATGCATGTAAGTCTTAGCTCATTGTTTCCTGAAATATGAACGTTCGAAATTATGCAAGTATAGGTCTTTACAATCTTAAAGGTACATGAAAGACCATGCAAGGCAGGCGCTTAAATTTTTCTTAAATAGCCTAATTTTTTATGTTTTTCATGGGTTCAAAACAGAGTTGATTATTTCTCGGTTAGACCAGGATGAATATTATTCTTTAATGAAGGAAATAATATTGCTTTTTGCAAATACACATGACAGGATCAACGCTACTATTTTGTTACGTTTTGTTCCAAAAATGTTGGATGTCTCTGGGGAGTTGCTTGTTATGTCTTTACTTATGGAGTTGTATGGTTTGATCGTGTTTGATTCTCAGTTTATTCTGAACTTGCCAAGATTAAGAAAGGCAAAAGAGTTTGGGTGTTTTAACAAGATTTCAGAACGTTGCAG